ACCACAGACGTGGGTAACGTGGCACAGCTGGCACTCGTCCTGCGCTATGTGACACCCACAGGTGTCAAGGATCGTTTTGTCAAATTTGTGGATGTAACTAGTGGCAGGCGAGCTGATGACCTTGCCGCGCTTATTTTCCGTATTCTTGAGGAATATGAATGCTGTTTGGACAAAGTTGTTGCACAGTGTTACGATGGTGCAGCGGTGATGGCATCTGGACTAAACGGGGTGCAGGCTAAAGTTAAGGAAAAGGCACCTATGGCCTTATTCATTCACTGTTATGCACATGGTCTTAATTTAGTGCTGACTCAAGGGGCCTCAAAGCTTAAAGAGTGCAAGGTCTTTTTTGCCAATCTGAATGGCCTCGCTGCGTTTTTCTCCAGATCCCCGAAGCGCACACAGTTGCTGGATGATGTGTGCAAACGGCGTCTTCCTCGTGTTGCGCCAACACGGTGGCAATATTCATCAAGACTGGTGAATGCAGTCTTTGAGAATCGAGTTGCTCTAAAGGAGTTGTTTGGTCACATATTGGACCATCACGACGAGTATGATGAGGACACCGTGCTTTCTGCAGATGGATTTAACGCACGGCTGGACGATTTTGAGTTTTGTTTTTTGCTCAACACATTCAATGGGCTTTTTGAGTATGCTGATGTGCTTTTTGGAATACTGCAGACCAAATCATTGGATGTGCAATTCTGCATGGCCAGGCTGAACGAGTTTTGTGACAAAGTTTAGCAAGAGAGGGGCAATTTCAGTGAGATATATGAAGAAGCAATGCGCGCCTCCGGTGGTCCAAGTGTGCGCAGAGGCCAACGCACGGCGCAAGGTGATCTCCGTGCACATTACTAAAAACTCCACAACAGCATTCTGGACAACATTCTTTCCCAGACAAGGAATCGATTTCAGGACCATGAAATGTTGATGTTTCTCTCCCTTCTTGACCCCCAGCACTTTCAGACATACAGAAAAAAATTCCCGACAGCAGCCTTCTCCAGCTTAACACAGAGCCACGGACCACTGTTTGATCTTCCCCGACTTAAAACAGAACTGACTGTAATGTATGCTATGGCTGATTTTGAAGGAAAAAGTCCCGCTGATCTACACGATTTTCTTCTCAGCAAAAACCTGAGTGAGAGTATGGGACAACTTTACGCACTGGCCTGTTTGGCTATCCCGGTGTCCACTGCCTCTGTTGAACGCTCATTCTCAGCATTAAAGCGCGTAAAAACGTACGCCAGAAACACGACCGGACAGACACGACTTTCAGCATTAGCCTCCATGTCCATAGAAAAGGCTCTACTCATGGACCTGAAGCGCACAGATAAACTGTATGACAGAGCCATTGAGGTTTTCCTGAGGAGAGAAAGAAGGATGGATTTTATTTTCAAATGAGCAGGAGAGGAGGAGATCCATGCTGGACATTTATGTTGGTGAGTAGAAACATTTTATTAGTATTTTTTTATGTTTTGTCATTTTATTTCGTTAATAATCAAGAAATGGTAACGAAATAAAATGGCTAAATGAAATTATTCTGTTTATGCAATTAATATTGTGTACAACGTGGTGTGCGCAGCTGCGCCCACATTGTTTCGCGGTGCCATTTTCTCCTAAACAAATGCAAATGTGTTTGCTTTACTTATTTATTTTATTGTCTCATCTCTTAAACCTGTCTTTCATTTTTGAGATTTGACAGTATCTGTGGTCTTAGCTTCCTATCAATTGGGAATGCGAGTTTGATTTCAAAGGCTCCGGAAATTACATGTCTTGACCAGCCACTGGTGTGTGTGCGTGTGTGTGTGGGAGAGAGAGAGAGTGAAAGAGAGAGGTTTCTCCAGCTGTGATGTCATATTGATGGTATTTTAAGGTGTATTAATTTAGATTGGATTGAATAGGAAATCACTGAAGGCGCAGGGGTGGAATGCACCGCCCGCCACTGGTTTTACGTGATGTTTACTTGCTGCTATGAGTAATAAGACAGAAAAAGCCACGCCAAAATAAGTTTAGGAAGCCCACTAAGAATCGTAATAAAAGCATTTAAAATAAACACCATACACAGTTGAGGAAACGTTGGTTTAAGTACCTGATATGAAGCGGTCGTTGCATAAGCGAAAACCTTTACTCTCGGGATCCCACAGCTTCATTTTCGCCCGGTCACTAGCGCGTTTTATTACAATGATCCAACGTTTGCGGCGCTCCGGATCTTGGGGAATCCTGTAGAAGGCTCATTCCTTATGTCGTCCGCGTCTGTTCTGCATCCTGGGGCACAACAGGAATCTTCCATATTTCCCGTTTGATTGAGTTTTCTGACAATAACAAATAGTCCAGCTGCCGGCTTCTGCATGCCAATATGGCGCCGTTTCGATTTGAACTGTTGCATGCCGGGAGAAGTGACGTCAACTCCCGGAGCTCTATACTACTACTGCATTCATTGAGCACTGATTGTATTGATATGCAGTATTTTAATTTTCTAGTGAGAGAAGATTTCTTATTTGTTCTCATTTCGGAAAGTCCGGATAATGGATGCTACAGTGTACCTGCTCAAATTTGGCTGTATTCTTTGCCCAGCCCCCCTCATTGTTAGACCATGGTAGACCACATGATCAACCAAAGTGGCTTTGATCTCATCAGAGATTACGGTCCTTGTCCTCATCCTCGTGATGAGTCAGTGTGCATATTTGTAAAGCAGTGTGTTCCTTGTGAAAACAAGACATTTTCTGAATGAAAAGTGTGCCAAAAGCAGATAATTGTGTGTAGCGTTTTGAAAAAAGTGAGTTTTAGAACTACAGTTTCAGTGTAAAACAGGAACTGTGCTTGTAGTTTAGCAGAATTTGTTCAGGGGATTGGTGAATGAGTTACATGTCGTGGTCATTGTGTCTCAAGTACCAGAATTTGTGTGTAAATAATTAAGAAAAACTGTAATGTTCAGGTTATAGACTTGTTTGTACTATTTTAACAGCTCCCCTGTTGTGGGACAGGTTATGAGAGTTATTTCTGAAAGTGCTTGTGCTTAGTGGTGTGCATCTCTACCTGCCTCACGATTCGATCCGATTCCGATTATCTGCCTAACGATTCGATTTGAGTCTGAAATGCATCACGATTCTTCACACAAAATTTTTCATTACTTAATAAAAGCAGTAGAATAGTTTTCAATTTCTTTTTGATTTCGAAATCCCTGAAAAACAGAACATTCATCTATTCACTATAGTGGGCAATAATGTTTAAAGTGTGCTGCCTATAATTACTTAAATAATATAAGAAATAATGTTTTCGGTAGAGCAGCTTTAAGATAGAATATTACTGAACTTAAAAATAGTAAACAAATACTGTGTTAAGTGATTCTTTCACATCCAGGATCCCAAAACCGAAATTAGCCCAGACATCTGATTTAAATGTAACGGGTACATCTTTGATTACTGGTAATGTTGGCCCTGTATCCCTGTCCGCCTTTTCTGTTTTAAATTGGCGCTAGGGCAACGCAGTGCGCATGTCATTGCAACTCTGCCCCCAGAAGTAATTGTAAAACCTCAAAACTTTATTGTCCTCGCATAACATAGACATAGACCAGGGGTCGGCAACCTGTTCCCATCAAAGAGCCATTATTACCCGTTTCCCACAGTAAAGAAAACACAGCAGCAGTCGCGGCGTTGTGGGCGGGGCCTACCCTCAGACAGCAGAGAGCTGCTCACAACAGGTGACAGCAGCCAGTACCGGTCACTCGTGTACATCAAAGTTATCTTTCATAAGACGATAATCAATAAAATGACTTATATAAAGTGGATCCAGAAGTTGTAGCCCGTCTCTGCCTACAATATTTTGATATTTTTCACCCCGTTGGTGGTTTTACTGAGCAGGTGACACTTTTGTCATACGTTTCTTTTTAAAACATGTTTAGACTGTTCAGAATACAAATCCAGGCTCTGTCACGTTTGATTGTTGTAATTAAACTTTGTAGGTGGGGAAGGTCAGAAAAGGATCCGATCATTTTGTTTTTCCTTCATTTACAGTGACGGAGATAATGGCGCAGTGCGCCTGGCTCTGGTGTTAATCAAGTTAAATTATATCTCTTTGCAACAATTTTCACAAGAAAACAGAACAGTTAAAAGCAGGGCTTGTGTTGTGTTGACTGATAGTTTCCGTATTTGACTATTTATTTTGACGGAGAAAGAATAGAAAGAATTACCCCGACGCATGCAGACGAACTGACACTTTATTCGTTTCGTGCAGATGTAGCTAAATCACTCAAGAAATGATTCCCATCTGAACATCTGAGCTGGACACGGAGCTCAGCGCAGCTCACTGTCAGCGCGTACGTACGGCGCACAGCGAGCTGAAGATGTGGAGAGGGGCTTGGAGCACGTCGCACACCCAGAGCGCATGCAGGAAGATTCCTCCGACTGAAGCGAGACTTGTCACTTAGAAAATGTTCCCTGATTATGAAACTTTTGCTGAATAGTGCTTGTTCCTGTCTCCAATGTGGCGTCACATCCAGGAGCTGAGGAGAATCCCAGGATCTCACATCCTCGTCAGCTCAGAATTATGCGCCTATATGATTACGCACAAGCGTGACGCGTCAACCCGGTCTCACAGTAAGACCGGGTTGGACCTGTTCAAGTTTACGCAGACAATCTTTACATTTAGAATTGGCATACAGATGTAAAATTAATGCAGTAAAATATAAAGCATTTTATTTAAACATCCATTCATTATTTTACAAGCACAGAGAGTCGCATCAGATGGATGGAAGAGCCGCATGCGGCTCCAGAGCTGCGGATTGCCGACCCCCGACATAGACATAGGGAGAGAATCTCATTATGTCACTTTGCTGCATTGATGCGGAATCGTGCACGGCTGAATCGCGATGCATCTTAGAATCGATCATTTTTCCCACCTCTACTTGTGCTACAGTTGTGCCAAGTTTACAAGCCTTGGTGGATTTTTTTGGGGCAATTTCTTAAAGAACATAAATGAAAACAGAAAAACCTTTTCATGGTCAGCGATGTTGTGAAGCCATTTATTTTTAAAGAAAATGTTTGAACTCATTTCAAATCATCATTACAAAATAAAATACCTCAAATATTACCCTGTTGAAAAGTTGAATGTACAGCCATTTTTAATGTAAAACTAATAAAACAGAAGTGGCAAAATAAGCTAAATGTGTTACTGTCTCTATAGTTTGCATTTGTAGTTTTGATTTCATCATCGTTACTCTCATTAAGAAACAAGTTCACAGAAATAAATACTGTACATGAATTATAATGAGATTTACATCTGTAGTTTGGTTTAGACTCATTCAACATCAGCAGGAAATTCGATTTACAGTATCTGAATGTCACCATGGTAACACACAGCTTAATGTGTTAAAAACATCAAATATCTGCACAGCAGAGTTCACGGATTTGTTCTGTGTGCAGTAGTTTGAGTGAACTGTTCTTTCAACATTTGCATTATTTTGATGCCAGAATGTGGGTGTTCAAAATAAGCTTTTATTTTGAAATGAGCGTGATCAAACCCAACATTCATTCAAACACTCACAAACCCACAATGTCAGTTTCACCAGTGCATCTCTCACAACTTCACTCTGAAACAGGTTTCAGCACTAAACCTTCCAGAAATCCGTTTAACTGATGAGGAACCTGAAAGAAACGTAACACCAAAAACAGCTGATCTGTACATTATTGCATAAGGATGACATCATTGCACAGAGGAGGAAGTTTAACAGGCAAGCGTTACCTCAGTGGGGGTAAATCAGAATGGAATTCACTCTTTGTACATGTCGATGAATCACAGGAGAGACTAACTAGTGCATAGATAAACACACACATGTAAACGTTGCTGTGAAGAGTGTTTTGTTTCTTTTCATTTCAGATCATTTATTCTAACACTGATGACAACTGCAGTCAAGAGTCTGTGATAGCTGGTGAGGAGTCTCTCATTTCACTGTAGAGGATTTTAATCCTACTCTTCCTCACAGAATTGCTTTAATCCAACCACAACAGAGGTTTTTCTGGCATTAGCGACCTGTTTAAGGTCAAAGGTCAGTTATTATCTCCATTAAGACTAAATCAGGGTTCCCGAAGTAGCCCTAGACCACCAGGTTTGATTGTTCATGTGTTGGTGTTGATTTTACAGCAGATGCAACGGGACACACACTTTCAAACAGCTCTACTTTTGTCTCCACAGAATATTTTCCAGAAACGGACAAATCTGTAATAGAGCAAACACTTTTTCCACGGCAGTGTATTTGTCGTGATGTGTTTGTGCACCACTGGAAGACTGAGAAGCTTCAAGTTGTTCAGGAGGAGGCAGGAAGACGGGAAACAGAAGTGACTCCACATCTGACCTAAAAACAGCTTCATATAAATAAAAATAATGTTTGATAGAAAAATGTTGCAGCTTGACTATTAATACTTGTCTGTGTAAACCAAGTATAAGCAGGTGTGTTTTCACTGAATCAGAACAACAGGTGCAGAAGTAGACTTTGGGATGAATGCATGAATATGAAGTATTTCTCTACGTTAAAACCAGTTTTTCTACTTGAACATTAAATCTTTTTTTCTCACTAACCAGATTTTGAAAAATCATCTTTTTCATCTTTGAGCAGCTTGCTGTTCTTCAGTTAAACACATCCACAGAGAACTCTCATTTTTTATGATTCCAGTTCGTTCTCTAAAGTGATTTCCCAACTGTCTCGCCAATTACTAAAACTCAACCAGCGTCCCCCGCTGGCTCCAGGTCTTATTGCACCCACATCACAGAGGTCTCGGATTGAAAAACAGCTTGTTGACGTAGGACTTGACTCTGGGATCACCATGCAGGATCATTTCATTTTAAAGGCAGATTGTTCTGCAGCTCTCAGTCACACCTCAGACTTTCCAGCAATGCTTTATTGCCCGTCGGCAGTTTATTACATTTTTGCATTTTTGGAACGTGATGCAATAATTAAGTGAAAGGCATTGGGATCAAATAAATTCAGGTGATCACAAACCAGATTTTACATGAGATCAAAATAACTCAGATTTTACATGAGATCAAAATAACTATGTATATAATTACACACTGCTCATACAAATACAAACACGTGTTTGTTAGTTTAGCCTGTAGTAATATAATATCTCATGAAAAAGCACATGGTCTTTGATTTCCTCTACGTAATCACCTGTAAGTGTTTACAAGGCATCAGGCAGAACTAGGGATTTTTTCTTTTAGTTGATAATTGGGCAGGGATCCACCAAAATAAAAGTAACCATTTGATGCATCATCTAGTGTCCTAAACAAAGTAAGACTGGCTTTAGGGCTTGTATCCGTCTTTATTCCAGACACCTCTGAGACGTGACTGAAAGCTGACGGGACTGGAGATGTTTGACGTGCTTTGATTAAGGTCAGGTAATCATCAGGTCGTTGGTATTTGTTCACTCACTTTAAACTGAGAGAAAATCATAAACAACAGCCAGACTCATTTAATAACTAAATAATATGAATAAGATAAAAACTTTGCTGAGTCAGTTACTTTGTAAAGTGACGCCAACATATATTGCTTTAATGGGCGAGCTGGAGTTTAGGACTGGTGATCTTCTCCAGCATGATCGTCTTAAAGATCTATTGTTGACAGTTTAAATGATGATAAACTGTAGTTTTGTGAGTTTTCATCCAAATGAAAACAGATACAAATACCTGTGAATTCCACTAATTCAGCTAGAAACATGCGCTCAGGGACAGCACGACGACAGCAGCAGCAGGTTGTTGATGACAGACATCATTTTAGTCATCTAAAGTTTCTGACGTCTCGTTTGAGCCGGTTTATCCCGTCAGGAGGAAGAACGGGTCCTACGTCCCTCCTCTTGACTCCTAGGATGTGACTGGACCCAAGCTCTGGGTCGAGACCTTTGTGTCCACCTTAGAGCAACAGCAGGTTCACCTTCAGCCTGTTAAGATGAAACAAACTGTCACCAGCTCCTCTTCATTGCTGCTTTGTTACTTGGCCTTTTGAGATGTTTTAGACTTTCACAAACAGCCAGCTGAATGTTTCTGATCGTCTGTCACTTATACTTGTTGCTTTCCAGACACCGAGTATCGGGTTCTTGTTTTGTCAGGCTCTGTTTCGGTTCCGATCATTTAAAGCAACATTTCCACCCTCAGAGCAGTTGGTTCAAAAGAAATCTGATCCAGACAGAAGCAGCAGAAGTTTTTGTCCTTTCATGTTTCTGTGTGAAGCCTCAGTCTGCTGAGGAGGCTGTTGTCATGACAACGGATCTGCACTTTCCCTGAAGCGCCAACAATCAGTAGGTCAGAGGTCAAAAGGTTGCTGGTTCATCTCCCCAACTGTCCCATTGTCATCAGTAGGGTGAGAAGAGAATGGATCCTTGGCTGGCTCTGATTGGTCCGGGAGCTGGACGCAGGAAGGAGGCGGTGAAGAGGGACGAGGACGACGGGGGACGAGGGTGGAGAGAGATGGTGGGGGTAAGGGGAGAGGAGGTGGGTGATAGGAGGGGTGAGGAGGAAATGGAGGAGGCAGGTAGAGAGATAGGAGGAGGAGGAGAGGCAAAGGGAGAGGAGAGAAAGGAGGGAGAGAGGGAGGGCTTCACCAGCTCCTGCTGAGGAAACAATGAGACATTTAAAAAAGAGTCAGAGGTGAAAAGGCAGAAAAGGAAGACACCGATGGAAAAAGGCCAGAAAGCAGCAGAGATAAAAAACAGAGTAAACAAATAGAAACGTGGGTAACGAGTAAGAAAGGAAATGAGGAGAGGAGAAACAGGAAAGAACAGTGAGGTGATTATAATCAGGTACAAGAGAAAAGTAAGAAGATAGAGCAGGAGAAGGAGAAAACAGAAACAATTTAGAGAAAAGTAAACAAGAAAAATAAAGCAAAAATAGAAACACTGAATTATAATAAACATTACTCAACACAAAAATGGAAAAAAGAAGAAAGGAAAAACAAAATGCCCGCTTAAAAATGTTTTTACTGTTATTACTTGAATATGAATTAAAGTGAATGAACTGAGGTGAAAAGCAGAAGAGAAGGACCAGAAGCCTTACGGAGTGGGAGCTGCGCTGTGGTTTGTTGTACGGGCTGTATTTGGGTTTGCTGGGTTTCCCTGCAACTCTGTCCTTGTGCCTCCTGCTGGAAATGTGCTGCAACGTCGAGCAAAACAACACCAGAGTGAAAAGGAAACTCACAGAAACTCCATGATTTTATATCCTAAATCTTAGGTTTAGATTATATGTTGTGTGTAATCTAAGTTGGTCAGAAACAACACTGAATACGCTGCTTTTGCGTCTCCCACTGTCAATTTTGGCACCAGAGTTCCTAACATGAAAAACAACTCTGTTCAAGAGTCTCTGAGAGGCAGAAACAACGATTCAGGGAATTGATGCAAACACTAGCAGGACCCTGATGCTGCAATCCACTCATGGCATCAAAACGGAAAGAAAAACCACTTTCATCATCTCAGATTATAATTTATTCCCCTAGATGTTCCACTTTTTGGTGCAAGCATCCAGAATTCTAAAGTAAATGCTAAATTAGACGCTTTACTTTTTAGAAAATGAAAAAACCAAGATATTTTAGGATGCTGTTGGGATGGGATTAAAGTGGATTAAACAAACTAAAAGAAACTAATATCACCTTCCTCGTGGGCCTCACCTGTTTGAGTTGGATCTCAGAGTTGACGTGGACGTCACAGATCTGGCAGTGGAAGGTTTTGTTCTGCAGCCCGGAGCCCTTCAGGCTGGGGCTGCTGCCGTTTTTCAGCTTGGATCCGGCTCGGGGAAAAGCTTTGATCGGCCCGGCTCCACTGCGAGCTTCCAGCATGGTTTTGTGCTTTGAACCTGGAAAACGTTGTTTTGAAAACACGATGAAGGATGCTCTCCTTTCCAGATTGACAGCTCTGTGAGGATTTACCAACATACGTCTTGCCTGAATGGTTTTGAGAATGTGTTTGACGGAAAACTCAGAGGTTTGCCCCGTAAAACACAACTTCATCCCTCCTCACCTGCGTTGTGAGCCTCCAGCTGAGACAGAGAGTTGACAGCGACTTTACAAAGAGAGCAGTACAACAGCTTCTTTGCCTTTTCCTCTTCTGACTCTGCAGACTGAGGGGCATCCTGGGAGCAGGTCTGTGAAGGAGGAGCAGTGGAGGAGGTGGAGGTGACTGAAGCCAGAGATTTGGAGGATGAGGAGGAAGAAGACAAGAGGCCTAGAGCTGGAAGAACAGATGGGGGGCTGGAGGAGGGAGGCTCACTCCCTGCTCTGCTGGAGGAGGAGGAGGAGGAAGAGAGGGGAGAGGTGGAGGAGAGGAGTGAGGATCTGAGAGGAGATTGGAGGTCACTGGGGCTGGATGGGAGTTCTGGAAGGAGGAGGAAAAAACATGAATCTAAAACACCTCCTGCAGCCTTGTTCAGATCAGAGGTACGAGAAGATCAAACCGACCCGAGTGCTGAATGGAGCTGTTGCTAGTGGAGACAGAGTGGGCGGGGCCAGCAGGACCACAGCTGCTCCCATTGGTCTCCACCGTGACGGGCAGCTTGGCTTTGGCCTTGTTCTCTTGAGATTTGAGCTTCTTGGCATGACGGCTGCCTCTGTAATGAGCTTCTGCCTGAGACTGAAAACATCCAAAATCAAAACATTTCCCATTTTCATCATGGTGAACTTTAATATGCAGTAAAGGTGCATCTGTCCCACCTCATTAACAACCCTCGTTAGAGTTTCCTTTAAATACACAAATCATAAAGTTTGTGGTGATAACTCTACTCTCTACCTAATCAGCCCTGGTCATGATGCACAAAAATACCAAAAGGCTCTTTTGTTTTGAAATCCACGCATAGTCTTCATCGTTTTAAAAACCTAAATGATAATTGAGATTCCAACAGTCTTGAGGCCTTATTCTAATCTCACTTCCTCTCCTCGTCCTCCTTCCTGTGACCCAGAAAATAATAATGGGAAGTAAAAAATATTTGAGGGAAGTCTTGCTTGTGTCACAAAGTAAAACCCATGTTGTTAAAGAATACTTCACACAAAACAGTCAACCGAGAATCAAACACAAGGCATCACCTCTTTTATTCATCATTTCATGGCATTCATAAGGAAATCTGTAAGTCTGAGGATTGTGGAGCAGAAAGACCTAGACTGTAACATTAATGATGATGAATGGATTAAATGACTGTAAAATGATAAAAAAAAACAGATTAAAGAGTCTGGAAGAAAAGTTATTCTTTATAAGACGATGCACAGGTTGAATTTACTCCATCTCAGCTTCACTGAATGGATCTACATCAGGCTGGAAATGTTGAGCAGCACCTGGAACGTTTACACAAGCGATCTGGGAATGTTAACACATTTTCCCATTCTGGAATATAGTGTTAAAACCAAACAGGAATCAGGCGTAATGAATGAAAACAGCCCAGAGTTTTGAAGAGGGATTCTAAATTTACATTAGAAATTAAAACAATAAAATAAATTAAAACAATAACAAATATATATATATATATATATATATATATATATATATATATATATATAGTGTCTTAAGAACAGTTCTGACAACATCTGACAGAACAGATTAAATCCAGCTGTAGGCTTCATTCAGACAATGGTTAGAAGATGCAGCTGTGTCACCTGTCAGTGGTGAGTGGCATCAGTTTAAAACGATGACTCTGAAACAAGGATGTCACTCTCTGGTAAATACCTGTCACCTTGCCTGCTCTGCTATTTTCTGATGGGAACAACCGAGACATCAGAAGAGATGAGGAGAGCAGTCCGGGATGCCTACATCGGATAACGGAACGCTTTTCTCGTTAAATGAACTCAAAATAACCTAAACTGGGATGACTGAAGGTTTGTTTTTTTGTTTGTTTTCTATTTTATCAACACAACTTTTTTATTCATACAAAAGCTGACCACTTCTGCTAACACCAGAGACGGTTGTGGGTGAAAATCCCAGCAGATCAGCAGTTTCTGGGATACTCCGACTACTAGACTCCAACAATCATCCTGCTGTCAGCTGTTTGGTCCCTCCCCCTTCTTCCCCGTTCTGCATCATCCTGATGTTTGGTTTGGACTTCAGCAGGTTACAAATGCCTGCCTAACGTTAACACTTGTTAGCATAAATTATTTTATGTAAAAGTAGAGCTATCCGAGGACTCCTAACAGCCATTTGCTTTTTCACTATACTGTACTTAAACTTGCTTGGTTAAATCTTTGAGACAAGCAGATGCTATTGGCTTGATCATCCATGTCCTTGGTCAGGTGGTCTCCTTCACAGGGTTGCAGGATTATTATGTAAAGAAGAATCTCGCCTCTGGATTATGAAGGAGGGAGAAGAAATCTGTCCAATCTGCAATCGTTCTAACAACCAGTAGGGGGTGCCTCGCTCTGATAAAAGTAAGGACCAGTGTGTGAGAGCACTGGTGCACCCAGCCAAAAGTAGTCCAACCTCCCCACACTTGGACCTTGAATGATTATGAAGTCAGACCACAGCTCAAATCCTTCTCCGGCACATCCCAAAGAATCTCAATCGATTTAAGGTCCAGACTGGTGGCGGATCAACGAGTTGAAATTATTTCTCATGCTCCTTGGAGTCCTATTTTAAAATCCAAACCCCATGAATCCTAGAAATCTCATCTTGGAATTAGCCCATGACATCATGGAGGAGGGAAATCATCAATGGAATAACTTAGTCATTCAGCATATTCAGATCAGCTGACCTCGTTTTTTGTGCTAGTGAACTTTGACCTCACCAACAGGAGCAACCCTAGATTATAAATCCAGGTGACTACTTTCTATTTACCCAGGCAGTGCATATAGTTGTTTCTTATTTGCATCTTATGCATCGCTGATGGCTGCCTGAACAGCCTCTCTTCATATAAATAGCTTTTATGCCCAACCAGTCTGATGAGCAAGCACTAGACAAGATGATTATTTGCTAAACCTCTGTGCAGCTGTCCATGTCACAAATTCTATGAACATAGATTGGTTCCAGCAGGAATTTCGTAATGATGGCTGATTAACTAACGTGTGTAGAATTCTCATGGAAAGGTTTTTATAACTAACACATTATTTGATGTCAAAAGTTGTGGAAAAAAGCTTGAATTCTGTTTTATTAATTGAATGTAAACTAAACTAATTGGCTATATGTGAGGAGAGGAGTGGAGGGCCAGAGAGAAAGTGAGCTATGAGTTACAACCTCTCCAGGTAATCAGATGAGCAGCGACCAATGTGTGCATGGAGCCTCGTGTACGTCTATCAGTGATTCTACTTCCATGTTTCTACAGACTTAAAGCTTTTTTTCTGTTACCGCTTCATCAGTTGTGACTCCTCCTTTCATGTTCCCTCATGAATTATTTTACAGGCTCATACATTAGTCACATTTAGCTGACATGTCGCTAATAGGGAAGCTCATCTCCTCTCAGCAGCTTTACATCTGCTGGATGTCATCTTGTTTAAAAAGCAGAGGCTTTCAACGGGAAACAGAAACCGTTTCTAAACAAGAAAGTTACCATTTATGTTGTGGAAATGAGATAAAAGTGAGTTAAATGCTTACATCAGAGTTGAACCTCAGCTGGCAGACATGACAAGTGATGACCTGCTTCTTTTTAGGTACCATGGTAACACCAAAGGTGTGATTGATGACGGCCTTCTGTACCGGGTCCATCTGTACACACAGAGGTCAGAGGTCACCAGCTGCAGAGGACTGTCAGAACTGTGATTAATGTTGCTGCATGCACACATCAACACATCCAAGTACCGTGTGGAAGTTTGGGAAAAGTCCAACTGGTGATGTCGTCTCTACAGGAAAAGGCAGGAAGGATTTCACCATCACTGAGGAACTAGTGGCACCAATGAGACCTGGCAACGCCCCGCCCACTGCACCACTTCCATTTCCTGGAAACAGAGACATATTTCTTATGAGGTAGTTTATTTTAACCAGCATCTGAAGCCTGAGACACACACAAACAATAAACCTGAGCAGGAGATTTCTTCAAATAATGATACAAATACTTCAGTGTTGGATTTTTGGTTTCATAGCAACAACTGAGACGTTAACAAAGGAGCAATAGGAGGAGCTTTGTTCACCTGTGCTCTTCATTCCCTTTTATAGAGACACATCAAGAACAACACATAGCATACATACAGTAACTGAAACAGGAAATTATTTCAGAAAACACCTTAGTTTTCTCACATGTAGAGGATGAAAAACCAAGCTGATCATCTGCAGGTTATTTTGGTGTAGGATCTTTGCAAGTTGAGCAAAATTTTGTGTAGAACGTGTGAATCCTCCTGCTGTCAGCTGTTTGGTCCCTCCTCTTGTGAGGAGGTGTAACATACACACTACATGCTGTGTAGAAGAGCATGCATCTCCTAATGCTTTTCTATCTGAGTATATCTATATTCACAGCTTGTGGAGGCCCTTCAGTGTTTTCTTTTATTACAACAGGTTGTGGGTGGAAGCTCTGAATCAGCCCTGAGACCAGAGGAGAAAGAAGAGGAGGACAGAAACATTGGTGTTACAGGTTTTAACATTTTTACAATTCGGTTAAACTCATAATACTCACACCCACATGGGCCAATCAAATGTTCAGCTACCTGGTTAGTTATTAGACCTGATTCTGATCATTTAAACAATTAAAACAATACAAAATAATTACAAAGATACACCTTTAGAATAGCATCTGAATTACCCTGTAAACATTTCATGTTAATTTCATCACATTCGACCCCTTTTCCAGCCAAACTCCTTTCCAAAATATAAAGTTAAAGAGACAATGTATCGTTTTTACTGGTAATCTCTGGAAATACCCATTGAAATGTTGCTGAAAATGAATTGAATGATGCCCAGTTGTTGAAAAATATTAGAGGCTTCGTAACATAAAAATCAGGTTTAAATTACATGGGAGCGGGTCTCAGGCCCAGTCCCAATACTCGCACTGCGCCCTACGGTATTCATCAAAGCGCACTTGGAGGAAGTGCGCAGTAAGGCTTCGAGTGCGTGGTACACAAGTGTGCAGATAGTTGCCGAATTGGGACAGGAAGCATTGTTTCATTGACTGCAATGCATGCTGGGATGCTGGTCTAGTTCGACTTAAAAAAAACAACCTTTATTGACAACTTTCAAACAACCAAACAATTATTTGAAATAAATTTACTTCCATTGCTGTTTTGTCTAAAACTGTCATGGTCTGAGGGTTGTGGATGCCAATTAAAAACTACTTGTGAGTCCTTAATTGCAGGTGGGCGGTGCCAGTGAGCGGGTAGCTGTTGCTGATCCACCATCAACCTGGCTGAGTATAAAGGGAGGAGTGAGACACCTTCACCTTGCTGGATGATTACTCACCTTAGGTACACAACTGAACCTTAGTAGCATTTGCCTAACTAATCCCACGTCTCAAGTACTAGTTTCTTGTTGTCCTGCCAAGTCTCTGACCTTTGTTTCTATTTCCCTTTGCCTCCAGAACACAAGCCTCTATGCTCACCACTTCACCATACTTGCTCGGATCTCACCCCTGGACCACGCCTTGCTCCTCAAACCCAACTAGCCTGCTCTCCACCGCTCACCTGCCCCCTCCTGCATCCTGCTCCCGAGTTCCATCGAAGGATTCTTAAAAGCCTGGTTACCACACTCGGACCTGACCTCCCTTCCCTCAGGAACTTGCTCTCCCCCACCGAATCTGTAAGCACAGTTTATTCATCTCCTTCATCTGCCAACAGTTACTGACTCGTGTCTGTTTCTAGACCCTCTCCTTCGGACAGGCAGATTGCTGAGATCTTCTCCTCCCTTTTGGACGGTGCTCCTTTTGTGAAGAAGAAGAAGAAGAAGAAGAAGAAGAAGAAGAAGAAGAAGAAGAAGAAGAAGAAGAAGAAGAAGAAGAAGAAGAAGAAGAAGAAGAAGAAGAAGAAGAATCATTTCTATAGCGCCTCTAAAAATCACGAGGCGTTTCACAAAAACAAAAAATGTAAAAACATTTTTAAAAAATTTAGAACAATTATTTTATTTATTTAAATGGTAAAGGGCCTGTATTTGAGCCTTCTAGAGTCCTGGAACCCCTCAAGGCGCTTTACAACACAATCAGTCATTCACCCATTCACACACACATCCACAGCTGCCCTGGGGCGCACTGCTGGGTAAAGCCGAAGGAGTCCATGAGAATGGAGAAATTCATGGCAATCCGAGGGATCATCAACGTGGACGTTAAAGTCACCAACAATCACCAGTCTGGACAGCTTCACAGTGGAGGATAGAAAGTCACTGAACTCCTGAAGGAAAGAACTGTTTGGACCAGGTGGACGATAAACCTCAGCACAGTAGAACGGGTCCTTACGCCCGACTTTAATCAGCTGCAGTTCAAAGGAAGCAAAGTGACCAGAGGTTGTAGAGCTACATGGAAGATGGTCTCTGAAAACAACAGCTAGGCCTCCACCACGACCAGAACCCCGGGGCGGGCTAAAGAATGAATAACCACTCGAGCAGGGTTCAATCAGACCTTGTTACGTTTTACTCACCCAGTTGTTTCCCTTTTCTGATTCTGTATGTCTTGGGTCAGAAGAATCTCCCAAAACATGACAAAACAGGAGTGCCCAATCCTGGTCCTAGAGGCCTGTATCCAAAAAGTTTTAGTGGTTTAATCAGATGTGCAGCAGCTCATCAGGCTCTACGGAAGCCTGTTAATCGCCTGCTGATTGAAATCAGATGTGTTGAAGCGGGGTTAAAACTAAAACATAGTGGAGACTGGCCCTCCAGGACCAGGATTGAGCACCCCAGGTCTAACACATTTAGAGCATCAACTAATTGTATTAAAATGAACTAATTTAATTTGAAAATACATATTTTCAGAAAAGACACTTCAGCCTTTTCGCCACAGCGGTGGATTGTGGGTAAAAACTTTCGCCCAAATCTGCATCAATGCGAATTTAGGTGAAGGGTATTACCCACAATCCATTGCTGTGGGAGAAAAGGCTGAAATGCCTGGGCCACGTCATATAATGCCCAATCCCAGTACTCGCACTTGCACCCTTGCGCCCTTCATTTGTGTGTTCCCGGCCAGGGGTGCGAGTGCGTAGGGTGTCCCGATTCACAAGTGCGGAAGTTGACCGCTCCCCCATTGCACCCTTAATCTGCACTTCACCCAAGTCCACAGCGATGCAGACCTCGGGCAAGGGCATTACCCACAAGTCTGATTTTGTAACAAACAGTTACAAAACTTTCACCATTCATAAACATTGTTGTTTTACACATTTACCTATTCACTTTTAGCCAGTGGTGAAAGGGAGTATGATGTGCTTGTCATTTTGCATGAGGTTGTGCTCCCAGGGATTTTTGCCATCCGTTGGTAAGGTCTTACTCCAACACCACAATACACACATTGTCACTTTAAATGTAAGAAAAATACTTTTAAATTACCTCAGCTATTTTTGTAATCTGTCTAAAAGCACAGTAGATTATCATAATCAGTTTAGATGTCAATTTAGTTCAACACTACCCAAATCTAATCCCTTACAACCCATACTAACACCATCTAATTGCCCTATGATCCATATTCAAATTCAGTTTTAACCTTGCAAGTGAATAGAGTTAAGAGGTTTGTTATTATTGGATAGATGGATGTATGAATACACAAGTGTAACCATGGATTCTGATCTTATCCTCATAGAGCCAATCTGTGAGTCAGTCTGTATTTATGAACATGGTCCCGTATGAAACGCAACGTTTTAATTAAGCGCATGCAGACCGACACACAATAACTCAGAAGGATGACTGAATCAGCTGTTATTAGCTGAGAGATTATTCCTGATTGTAAATAAAGATTAGTGTCTATTTTTACTGATAGTGTTGAGTGTTAGCTAGGCGGCAAAATGGAAGCTTTGTCATGAAGAACCCGGTTCACGCGCTTACAAGCCTGTCTGTCATGACCTAAAAGATAAAAAATTGAGGTTAAACCGACAGAAACATAGATCTACTGTTTTTACTTCCTGTAAGCTTGTAAAAACCCTGAGTCTCAGGTTGTTTTGCTCCTACAAACCTCGATAAATACCAGTTCCATCGACAGACATCACATTCTGCTGATTTGCTTCCACACGTTGAAAACACATTTGCTCCTCAGCATTGCACTGTTTTATTTACGATCTGTAAGAATTGAAGCTATTTTTAGAGCGTGTGATGGATAACATGGTGACAAAGTTGCCTTGATTCTGTCTCTGAGATCGAGTTACAACCCACAGACACACAGCGACCTGTCTCTCTTACAGGTTTCTCTTCTAAGAAAGCTGCTATAAATACTGGTCTACACATCTACAACGGCTTCGCATGGAAACAACCAGTAAAACCAGCATGAAAACCAGCCAACAGTGAAGCAATGAGCCAGTGTTCTTTATCTGAAGTTGTTGTTGATTGGCCAGAAGCTCTATTAAAGGAAGCTCGGCATGGAAAATGAAGCAATTCCAAGTCAACTCTTTCTATCTGCAGCCAGGCAATGTTAGTCCAAGCCTCTAGTGGTGTCTAAGTATAAAATATGGTTTAAGAAGAATTACCAGTTCATACTGGTGGAAGGAAGATATCTATGCTCCTATTGGGATTACTTTCAGGACATCTCTATTGAATAAAAATGTAACATTTTTAAAGTAAAGCCATCCAAGATGGCCGAAACACAAGAAAGCACTAAACAGCTGAAACAAATTGTGCTAAAACTCTGTAACGGTAGTCCTTTACAACACTTACTCTTAATGCTAACGGATCACATGATGATGTGCTTAACATAATTATGAGATTTGACCAAATTGGCTATAACTAAATTCTAAACTCTGGCATAAAAGTGGCCACGCCATGGTGCCAGGAATGCATGCTGGTTGGTCCTGGCCTGGTTCCCACGACTTGATATTTGAGCAGATTT